GATCAGGTACGTCCAGTTCCCCGTGGACAAGTACGGAAGACAGGCATCCTCCAGGAGGCACAGCATACTTCCTTATGTCCCACGCACGCTTGGAACATCAGAAGTGGGGGACTTGTGTTGGGTAAATAGCCCCGAACAGGAGTCCGGCCCATTTACTCCCGAACCGACGTACGTCGCCCAGCCCGCGGATGGCCCTGGCCTGAAGGAATGGGGACGAATGTTTATCTCCGGGGTAACAGCACAAGGTCCCAGCCGAGGGTCGGTTAGCACATCCGTGACGAACGTCGTCAGACGAGGCCCATCTCCGTAGATGGCCCAGGGCCCAAAAGATTGTTACGTTCTCAGGAAGGGCCGCAGACGAACGGCCCCCGTTTCTACCGGACGATCGTGGTCAGGAATTAGGCGGGGAACCCAGATTCTGGCGGGAAGCGCATTTAATGCTGGAGATTTGGTGGTTGGGCCACAGCCACTAACAATCCTCCACATCATCAAGACTAACTGCCCATTGGCGGGTATAAATAGTAGCATTTATTTCATTGTAAGGGGTTGGCAACTTTCTATTCTTAGCATACTAGCTTCAGCATTCTTACTTAGGGGAGTTTTTAGCAAGTAGATTGTACTTAGGGGAGTTATTACGAAGTTAATAATACCTATTTACATTGCCTGCTATTTCTCTTGTTTCCTGATCCATCTGAAAGTTGTTGGGCTAGATATCCAAACACTCCACTCGAAATCTTTGGGCTTACGTGTTGGGTCCAAGGGTTGAAGGAATAAACCTCAACAACATCCAAACACCCCCTGAATCTAATCTTAAAACCGCGTCTACTTCTTTAGATATCAAAGTATTTGGATGAAATTGCCTCTAGAAGCATTTTTTAGAAGTCGAGGAATATCAACTTTTAAAAACTAATTCTAATTTTCTACTGTATTTTAAAAAAATAGAAACAGAACTAATTGCAAACACTAATTTATGTGTCTTTCTTAAATGGTTCGCGAGTTATTACACTAATGTGAGTTATTCGTTATTAAATAAAAGGAAATCAAAAAGTACTTAGAGCATCTTCAATGCTATAATGTCCACGGTACACATGTGGCATGAGTGATAGCCACATAATTATTAGCAAATAAATTATTTCTCTCCTTATTTGAATGATTTTATACAATTTTGGTAAGTTTTTCCCTGCAATGTCAACAACAATGTCAACATTAGACGGTCTTCTTGACATTGTGGAGAAAAACTTACCAAAACTGTATAAAATCATTCAAATAAAGAGAGAAATAATTTATTTACTAATATTTATGTGGTCATCTCTCATGCTCTTACCAATATGCAACTTCCATTAAAAGCACGTTTGGCAATCTCATTTTTAATGTATCAATCTTATCAAAATAAACTCTTTTTTCAATTTGTAATCTTTTGAGTTGGATACTATAATAATCAAAATAAGTACAATCAAAATTACTTCTCTTTGTTAAATTGATTGAAATTGCTAAACAAGACTATCATCATACGGGATTTTTTTTTGTTTTATTAAAAAAATATAATTCAGGTCACAGTTTCACCAATTTCATGGAACAAAGATATCGGAAGGAAGGCGTAGGGTATGTTTGGCACAACTAGCTGACAAAAAATTATTATGAAATTTTTAAGAATTATTACAGTAGTTTTTAGTGACTGAAAAGATTTTAAAAAGAAAATGTTGTAGACTTGTAGTTGTTTGATAAAAAACTGACTGTTGGATTTAGTTCTGTTCGATATAACAAGCTGTTGTCACTAATTAATGATAAAAACTAATGACTTTCTCTTAGATGCTACCACTATTACATCTCAAAAAAGATCTTTTATTTTATAATAAGCTCTGATAAATGTCCTAGCAAACATGCAAACAGAAGCTTTTAGAGACTTTTTAAATAGTACAAAAACTAGAAGGTAGTAACTTATGTATACCAAACATGCACATAATATAACTACTTTGTATGTTACTGCTCATCTCACACAACTTAGAGTCCATTTGGTAAACTTGAAATTGGTTGAATCGACTTCATCTATTCATTGATGAAATTTTTGACTGAAACGGCTGAATTATGTAAAAAAATTATATTCGATCATATTTTATTAATAAGATTAAAATGTACAAAAAAAATTATATGAGAAATTAGCTCAAATGGTCTGTTATATTCATATCAACTAATTCAGTCTGAAAGGTAATTAAAATTTTACTTATTTTTATTGATATACTCCGTATAATTCAACGTGAATTCAAAAATCATGTTTAATAAAAATGATTGATAATGTGACAAGCTGAAAATATGAAATTCTAAATGGGCACTTTGATTTTTTTCCAAAATATCCTGCATACCTTTTAAACTTTTTATAACACTACGTATATGCTAATAATAGTGCTAACATTCTGTCCTTGATGATCAACAATAATGATATTACAATGCAAAATAGGCTTATACTTCGCATTACACATCTAAAACGGATGTCTCTCCCTTTGTCACTACTAAAAAAACACATAATTTGCACGGAATTTGACACGAATTAACGACTTTTCGTATCAAATAGTTCGATCCTAAATGTTTTTTACACGACTTTTGTAGAATCCATATCAAATTCTCCATCAATGTCGTATTTTTTTTTGTAATGGATGCCGGTCCGAATTCAGTAGTGATTCACTAATCACTGGTCAATTCCATCCGGTCGAACTCGGTTAGATCAGGAATCTTCGAAGCTCGAGTAATCAATCGAGTATGCCTTTGAAAAACTACAAAAGGAAAAGAGATGGAACCGAATCCACCCAATCTTCCCAAGACAATAGTAGAGTTAAACAATAGCTTATCACTTTTAGAATTTGACAGTACAGTTGATGGCGATGCGACGGACTACTCCCACTCCGCCTTTACCCGCCCATGCCTATTTCCCTACCCTGCTTTACCCCTCCGCCTCATAGAATTTGAGTCTCCCAATGCATCAAAAAAATAAAATCTTAACACTGTAAGGACTTCTGCAGCTGTGCAGCGAACAAAGGGACAGCTCCTTTATAGAAGACCTAAAAGCCTTTCAACTTTAATTCTCCTCCTCTCTCCTCCCTCCATTTCCTTCCTTTGTTGACTAATAGGGAGTAAGATTTAAGATTAACATCTTATTCCTTCTCTAGATCAAATGTAAATTGTTAATAGGATTGATAGGTGACTATTTTTTGATAACACACCTACAATCCATCAAAATTGTTTCCAAAGTAAACTGTGAAATATTCATTTTAGATTTTTTAATTTGGATCTACTTCTCTGAACTCTTTGAACTGTTTCCACTTTTTTGATGAACATAAACATATAATCGTACTTCGTATTAAAGTGTTTGAATGAAATTGTACAAGTATTTCTGAGTACTCCAAATTACTCCTAAAAAAGTCATTTTAGAAGTAGGGAGATCGATTTTTGAAAAACTGATTCTGATTGATTATGATTCATTTTTTAAAAAAAGAAGTGCAGAATCAATTCCAAACACCGCATTTATCGTTCAAACCTCGAAGAACACACTCTAATTCTCATTGAAAGCTCAATAAATTACTTTTAGAGGTCGTTTGGCAACACTTTTTCTGTTTATCAGGCTTATCAGCCAACTTTTTCACCAAACACGTAACTTTTGCTTTCACGCGTTGAATTTTGTAATAAGCAGAAAAAGTAAGGTTGGAGTTATTTTTCTGGTTGTATTGGCTGAAGTTACTGTAGATGATGATTTTAGCTATTTTACATATAATTTTTTATTTATTTTATTAATAAAATATATTTTAAAAATGATTTTATTTTTAAATCAGCAGAATCGGCCAATGCATCCACTTCAGCCAGAATTTCATAAATTTCAGCAAAATCAGCCAAAACAGTTGATTTTGGTGCTACCAGACAGGCTCTTAGTGACACTGACGACTGACATCGATTCTCGTTAAGTTCAATCTCCCATAGTGACACATATAAACCTAAACAGGTCATTCATTCATATTATTGTTAGAATTAGTGTTCTAATAGGAGGACGCATGTGTTGAAGTCTTGAAGACTGTATACGAGTTTTAGAACTCAAAACTATATACAAGACGAAGATTGAATACAAATTTTAGAACTCAAAGTGATCTTTCTAATGAGATATGAAACACCTCAAGCGCAAAACAACACAGAAATATATGATCAAGTCAACTATACACCTGTCATAGTAAACACGGAGAGTTTATATTTTTTTTAATTTCTGAGTAATACGTATATATCCTCTATTATTTTGTAAATGAAGTCTGAATAAGAGTCTTAGAAGTTTAGAACTTGACATGATCTTTCCAACGAGCTATAAAACACTTAGAACGTATGAAAAAATAAGAAAGATATGATAAAATCAAATGTTAGACAAGTTTGGAGTGAAATTATGAGTTTCCAGTTAATTTATACCTACTCTTTAATACATAACAAATGAAGTCTCAAAATGAATTACATAACTCAAAACGATCTTTCTAATGAGCTATAACACGCTTGAAACGCAAGACTCAAGATATAATAAAAAAATTGGAGTAGTACTCAATGCTCATATTATATACAAAAATTTGATACGTGAGAACTTTTTTGTATCTATATGTGATCTTTTCGGACTGCAACGACAAATGATCGAGGTACAATAACTTTTATAAAAAATGGACATAGTCAAATATATAGACTCAATGTGACATTGGTATAATATTGGTATAATTAAAAGTACAATCTATTCTTATTTTTTTGTCTCATTTCAATCTTTTAAAGTCTCCTAATACATTTTCTTGTTTAAAACATAACATTAATAATGAACTTTTCACGTGGAGCCTAATTTCAATTTTTTTTCCTTCTACTAAAGTTCGATTAAAATAAGAATAACCCATAAAAGGGGGAACTAAGTCAAAAAGGGAACATGGCTAAACACCATAGATAAAGTACATGTTTTTTCTTTTCCTCTTTCTTCTACATCGCATTGTATAAAACAGAGCCCACAGAGTCCTCTACAACTCCCACACATATTACATCATAGAAATACCATATTTTTTATTCTCTCTGCTAGGAATTGAATATACCATGGGTGGATGTTTACTGAGCTTTATATGTACGGAAAGGACGAAGAAGAAGCAATGCTGCTTTCTGCGGAGAATGAGAGCCGCCGTGAAGAAGGCGGTCAAGAACTGGTGCGGAGGAGGGCGCCGCCGCCGGCAGGTGAAATTCCAATACGACCCTTGGAGTTATGCACTCAACTTTGATGATGGGTTTGGGGATGAGGAGAGGGCAAATGCGGTATTTCATCACCATGCCTCCTGTTCTTCTTCTAAAACTGTTGCTGCCACTACTGCTACACTGGTCTTTGTTCTTTGGTTAGAGGCATAGCCAGAAAGCTATAAAAAAAGATCGAATTGCAGATTTTTCTTGTCTTATTGACTTATTGTTTAGTTAATTAAATGTTTGTTTATTACTCCGTATGTCTTAACCATTAATTAATTATTTACGGTAGTTCAGAACAAGTAATCTGCTAATACTTAACCTTAGATCACCATTTTATGGTGGTGACCTGCTTGAAGGAATCGGGTTTTTTCATAGTACGGAGTATTGTATTACCATTTTCTGTTTTATCTGCTAATAATAATTTTTTAAATTCTGTTTCTTTTCCTAATTTGAATTTGATAATAAAGCTCTAAAAATAAGAAACCTCACTTTTTTTTTTTGTAAAAAATAATTAAAATACCCAACCTTTGAAGGGATGAACATCCTAAACTTCCATTGAAATAAATAAGGTTACCCCTAATCTATATAATTGCAACACTTTTAATTTGCTATTTTAAATTATGCAATTAACTCAATAAATTTACATTTTTGAAAGAAATAATACATGCCAATGGTGCAAAAAAACTTTTTATATAAAGTTCGGGATTTTTAAATTATATATGCAAGTTTGGAATGTTTACCTCACACTCCTTCACAGTTTGGAGTATTATTTTTATTACATGCCCTTGTTTTTTTGCCAATTTTTAGGGAGTGTTTGCAATAGCTTAAAAAAACACTTCTCAGCTTTTGGTTTAAAAAAACACTTATTTACCAAACACTACCAATTTTTACTTTTTCTCGGCTTGTGTGAAAAGTGTTTTTCCCTTTTCTATTACACAAAAAACACTTATTTTACCAAACATTACCAACATTTACTTTTCAAAATCACTTTTTTCTCAAACACTAATAATTTTTACTACTTATCACTTTTTCTCAATCACTTCAAAAGTGCTTTCTTTAAGCAGAAGCACTTGAAAACACTCCCTTAACATCATGTAGAGCCCGTTTGGTACTACCAAAATCCGACTGAATCGTTGATTAAGCTGGAATTTATTAAGTTCCAGTTGATGTGACTGGATTGGTTGATTCTACTTATTTATGAAAAAAATATAAAATATAATTTATTAATAAAAAATATAGTTAAAATGATCCACTACTGTAACTTCAACCAATACTACTAAAAGAGTAACTCCGATATTACTTTTTCTTATTATTCTACAATTCGTCGCACCGAATTACCAAACGAGCTTGTAACATTAATATCGGGTTTTAATTGATTATACAACGCATACATTCATATTTCATGTTATCATCGTTACCCCAATGCCACACATAATGACATATCTAATGTAAGGGTGAAAAAATGGCGATACGAAATCAACCAAAAATGAATATAGAAAGCGAACCGATTCATATTGAAACAACTTAATCAAATTATAGATGAAATGGTTCACTATGACTCTCTAATGACTTTTTCTTTACAGATGATTTTAAGGGACATGCGATAGAAAGTGATCGTTGTCTCCCTATATCAAACCAGGAAGAAATTAGAAACTCCAAATTTAACAGATCGATTTGCCGAAAATCAAAATTCTTCACCTCCGAAAACTGCTTGCCAACAGACCACCTCAACACTCAACTCAAGATTTACAGGAAATCTTAGAAGAATAAAAGGCGCCACAGTATGAGGACTAGATCTCAGTCCAGAGATTTCTCTTGGGTCTAGTCGTTGCCTTAACTTTTATTCACTTTTCTTTTCTGTATTTTTTTCTTTTATTTACCTTCTTGCACTGTACCCTTTATTTTAGGAATAAAATTGTCTTTTAAAAAAAAATGCATTCATTCTTCTCAAAATAGCCACATGTGTTTTTTTTTCCGATCATGTTATCTGTTCCTTTTAACAAACTTATGTTATATTTAGTATAAATTGAAAAAAATACACTAATGTCTTAAAAATCATTATTGTGTATCAACTTCCATTATTGTTGTGTATATGACTATTTGTTGAATCATATTTGTGTAGTTTTTATTTACAATTTATGAATGTGCAACTATGAATTAGAATTAATGTTCAACCTAAAACAAAAATGATGAATGATGAGTTTTTATGTGGATGTAATGAAGATGAACACTATGTGATGTATCGTCATTTTGTTATATTTTTCCTTAGTTGTGTTACAGTATTTGTATATTTGCAAAACTTGAAGATGCAAATATAAGCTTCAAGAATCTTTCATAGCATTTAGTGTGCTCTTTCTTATACGGAGTACTTTTTATCAACCTTTCGTGTGATTTTGTCGACATAATGGTAACTACTAATTGCAACATTTTCTAAAAAGTTGGCATTGGTTTGACATTATACTGTTTCAAAACAGCATAATATCAAATGATTGCAACCATAAATACAGACGGTACTAAACCTTTTGAAACCTCATGCGTACATTATGGATTTTGCTAATTTACCGGATCAATCCGGACTGCGGACAACCCTACATGCAATTACACACACCCGTAAAACACACTACACAATTACACGGAGGGGGGGCTAGGGGTGGAATTGATAATACTGAAACTGTTTCCAATTAATTTTGAACTCAAGACTTCATTATTTCTAAGGTTGCCCACAACCCAGGGTTGAATAAGGCAAATTTAATCTATTCACATTTCACCTAAAAAAGCTTAGCAACCCATGTACTCCGTATTTGGGAAGTTAAAGTGGGAGCAAGGCACTCCCTTGGGTGGGGCTATTGACTCGCTGCACGATGGAGCAAAGGGAGAATGGGAGTAGTTCCTATACCGTGAGATCATCCCACGGTGAGCACCGTGCTCCTGATCCAAAACGACGCAGTTTTGCAACGATTTTTAATTAAAAAATTCTCGCGTGATGAACAGTACACGCGTGAACAGTACACGCGTGAACAATACTTCTTTTTTATTTTTCACTTGTTCCAGTAACAGAATGGTGTAACGCACGTGTAAAGAAATGTAACTAACGTGATTGATGAATGTAACTCAAGTCTAGTTGAAATGTAACTAATTCAATACATAACATAAGGAATAAAAAATTGATTTCAATGGGAAAAAAGGAGTCTAATTGTCCAACTATTTGACATAAATTGTGTATATGTCTTGTTTTTAATATCAGTACTATAAAAATGATTTTTTATGAAAACGATTTTTCTTTGAATAACATGGGCTTATTGTGTTGTGTAACTCGTATTATATTCAGGTGTAACTCGTATTATGCAAAATGTAAATCACGTGTAAGGAAGATGTAACTTGCCGGGCAAAGTTGACATGTAACTCACGCTAATAAATATGTAACTTAAGATAAATAGAAAGAACGAATTACATATAAATGTATTTAGGCCATGTTTGGTATGATATATCAACCTAGGTAATGTAATGAGTATTACATGTTGCTTCGAATACGATGTTTGGTATGTCATTTTATTTTAAATCGCAATTTAATGAACATTGCATATGTGAAATTCATTAAGGTGTAATAAGCTTTAATTACATGGGAAAAATTGTGTATTTGAGATTACTCATTATAGGGTGAATTTGAGATTACTCAAACCCAGGGGTGGACCGGGACCGTGTTGGATCGGGCTCCAGGCCAGGCTTGGGCGGGCTTCGGGTCCAAAATATTTAGGTGCGGTACTGGCCCGGGTTAGTTAGGGCTTAAATTAAGATTTTTTATTTTGTCTTTATGAATTAATTCCAATCCCAACCCCCCCCCCCCCCCCCCCCAAAAAAAAAAAAAACGCCCATCCCCACCCACCTAGCACCCAGCCCAATGCAAAAAAATATTTTAAAAAAAATTAAGACCAAGATTGGGCCCAGCCTGGCCCGGCCGATCGCCTTAAAACAGAGCCCTTAGCCCGCCTCTTTCAATCCCGGGTTGGGTCACTGGGCCTGGTTGACCGGGCCGGGTCCTGGATCGGGCCGGCCCATCCTAGTCCACCACTTCTGAAACCTACCTCATTTACTTCTGCCCCCATCCAGACATAAATTTGAGATAACATAAAACGTATGCAATATATTAGTTTTGTTTTCTTTTATTGGCTCTCTCACAAGAAAACAAATAATGAGTAAAATAGTACATCGTAGTATGGGAACAAAAAAGAGAGTATGAAAGTAGAATGTGACAAAATAAGTCAAAGTTTTTAAAAATAGAAATAAGTGATTATAAAAAGTAATAAAAAAGAGAATAAGGGTAAATCAGGTATTAAACATAAGAGTGAATTACCTTGCAGATTTAAAATGGCTTAATTGATACTCCATCCGTCCTGCTAAGATCATCCCATTACCGTAGAAAATCATAAAAAATAATAATAAATGTAAAAAAATAATAAAAATGTAGAAAAATAATAAAAAAAGTTTATAAAATATATATAAAATAAAAAATAATTTTTAAAAAAAAATTACAAAAAATAATTAAAAACGCAAAAAATAAATGTTGCTGCCTCTGCGACCACCAAGACCACCAGCTCCCATTAGTGGTTCGAAATTTGTCAACGTTTTTAGTAATGCCATAATAATGGCAGATTCAATGAGAATTTTGGCACCATGAAGATTAGCAATTCCATTTTCTTGGAATTTTCAGAAAAAAATTGCAGAATTTTCACCGAATAGAGATGGTGGTGTTGGGAGGCGGTGGGAAAGGTATCCATATTTTTTATATTTTTAATAATTTAAAAAAATCAATTTTTTTTAATTTTTTAAATATTTATTAATTTATAATTTCTTTAAAAAATTTTGTTATTTTTTTACAAATTTTTATTACGAGTATTTTTTATGATTTTGTTATGAATGAGGACATTTCATTATGAATTAATACCTCTTAGGGGTAATTAGAGTAGAAATCAATGCTTAATCCTACTTGGATGGAATTAAAAAGTAGTAGTCCAATTTGTGCATTTTGGGTAAACTTTAGTCCTATCGAGGGAAATATCTATAAACATAATTAGTACTCTCTACGTCCCGAAAAAAACACCAAATTTACATTTTTATTAATGACAAACAACTTTTACCAATGATATCTTTTAATACGAAATCATTTTGAATATTCAAATTATATCAAAATATTACTTATTCAAATTATTTTCATAAAGGTATAAAATTTATAAATTATATACAAATATAATAATTAAAATTATTGTTAAAAGTTTTGGGATTTTTACAAAAATATTACTAAAATAAAATTTAATTACATAAATATGACTATTAGTTACTAGTCTTACTACAATGCGATGCCATAGTAACTTAAGTTTAAAAATTGAAT